ACAGAAACTGGTCAACTAGGACATGGGTTGGTCGATTGGATCAAGGGCCGGTCAACCACATCTATACTTGGTTGACTAGCCTGATTCTGTAAGCCCCCACTTTTAGTGGTCTGATTTGCTCCAAATTCATTTTTTTTTTATTCTAACAGCCATAAATCTATGTGTGTGCTTCCAAACATGGTTCAACATATAATTCAAGCATGATATCTATTCAATACACAAGACTTGATCAATTAAGCACAAATCATCATTTCTCGTAAAATTCTAGTCCATCAATATACATAATTATACATGGCATGCTTGTGGTAATGATATTCAATAAAGAGCATCCAACACACGATATATAGTGGTTCGGTCCACTCGGCCTACGTCCACTCTTCCCTACCCACATGGTTGAGGATTACTCCACTAAAGGGGGTTATCCGCCAACCCAATAAGCATGTGGATCACATAGGGACCAATCCACTAGTCCACCCCAAATGTCCCTCGCAAGGCTCCACTTAAGAATTTGGTGAAGTTTTCCTAGGCTCTCCTATAACCTACCTTTTTTTTTAGGGGGGGGGGGAGAAGGTAAGGAACTTGAATTCTTGACCTCAAGAAGGTAAAATCTTTACAAGATAAGGAGTATCATTGGATCAAAGGCCCGTTGGTAAAGAAATTTGTGAAGGTGTTCTACAGTCCTACAACCGATCTTAGTCCATCCTTGCAAGGCATCTAACTAGGGTTTGGTGAAGGTTTTCTATAGCTCACCTATAATTGGTCCAACACAACCTCAAATAGTGCATTTCAATGTTGAATCCCAAATTTTGGACTTTCAAGCTCCACCTTGGAGCTATACCTCTAGATCTGGTGCAAAGTGGTGTGTGTGGCATGCAAGAGTGATCTTAATACACAATTAAGTGAGAATGAGTCAAACTAACAGTGAAAACTTGGCCAAGGAATGTCCACTTCAAGCCTCTGCCTAAGCTCCCTTGTTTAGAAGGGAAATATGGTCTTTTTGCCCATTTTCTCTCTCCTAGGTCTTCAATGTAGTGTGTAAGAGGGATAGACCCCAAAATCCATCAACCTTCAAAAGTCGAGGAGGAAGGGGTTATATAGGGGTGGATTCAATAGCTAGCTCAATGGCTAGTTTTTGGAATTTAACTGATGTAGATTGTATTAGTTCTGATACCAAATTGATGTAGATTGTCTTAAGAAAAAATTAGAGATGAGAAAGGAAGAAGAAGGAAATGAGAAAAGAAGAAGAGAATAAGAATAGAGAGAGAATTTTAAAAAGAAGTAATATCAAGATTCAATATCAATAATCAAAGTCTAGTCTCACAGTAAATATGTATCTTCTATATATATATAAGGAATTCACAAATCTTATATATATAAGGAGATCACAAACCCTAAAATAAATATAACTAGACCCTTAAAAGTTAAAAGAAATTACTTAAACGATAAATATTAAAAGTATCTAAATAACTATTATAATTAATCTATAATAGCTATCTAATTCCTACACGATCCCCATCATTCTCTTCCGGTTGAAAAAATTCTCTTCCGGAGAGTCTTCAAAATAGAAGTACCCTAAGAGGGTAAGATGAAAATGACATAATGTCTCATTTTGAATGAAAGAACCATTAATATCTTTTCATCGATCAGAATAAATACAAGAATCTCCATCTGTAGTAATGTAAATCAGGTCATGTAACACATCATCCATTTGCCCCAAAATACGCGATGGAAGTGGAAAGATAAGAGCTGAAGCTAATGCTAAGGAAGAAATAATTTCACCTATAAACAAAATAGGAGGCCCTGGAGTACCTCGATTAAGTAGTATGTCCTCAAAATTAAAATCTGGACTAATACTAACATTCAATGAAAAATTAAGCAAATAAGCATTAGATCCAAATTCGAGAATAGAAAAACAATTCTCATTAGGTTTCAACAAAAAGTATTCAATGAGACAAGATATTTATGACAAAGGAGTAACATTGACGCCTTGGTGTTGAAAATAATTAAGTACCAACTCAAGTAAAATTTTAATAGTAGGAATAAAGTCAACTATTTCAGAGGGAAAAGATTTGGGAACAAAGTTAGATTGACTTGAAATAGGAGACACAAAACAATCACCAAAAGATTCTGAAATAGGTAACTTAATGTGCTTGACATCTTTTGTAAGTGTAAACTCGATAGACTTTTCAACAAGTTTCATTACAAGTGGTGACTCAACATTTGATTCTGGCAAATGCTCAAATTTATTTTCTTCAGGTATTGACTTTGTTGGTATGAAGGAGGTGAACTCTGATCTGATAAAACCGGACAAGAGGATTGGTAGTTGACATGAGTAACATATTTTTTTGTATGTGAGAGTGTGTCATCCAAATCCATAGTCACCCTGGAATTAGCAAAATATGCAGAAATAACATGGACATCATTCAAGTAATCATGATACTCATATGTGATAGAATTTAAATTAGAAGATGTCCTATCAGCAAGTTGTGATTGAGAATCCATCAAGTTATAGTTGAATTTCTTATGAAATTTCTCAACCTTTAGAGCGTATTGATTGGCTACAACTAACGTATTAAAAATATATTCTTTGATCTCCCAACTAATTTTTTGTCTCAACCCAAAAATAAACTGATCAATTGTCCAAAGTTCTTCGGCAATGTCACACAAGTACATGAGATAATCAAACTGGACAAAGTAATCAGAGACACTAGAAGAATGTTGTCTAAGATTGAGCCATTGGTCATAAACTTGATCCATGTAGGAAGTAGGCAAATACTTCTCTTTCAATTTATATCTCATTTCAACTCAAGTGATAGGTGATTCTCCTAAGGGGTCTAGGCTTCTCTGGATTGTTTGCCAATACTTCTTGGCAGAACCCTCCAACATCAATTTAACAAAACGGACGTAATAGGAATCAGACATGCCATGCCAATCAAAATATTCTTCTAAATTAGCTAATCAATCCAAGAATTGATTAGGATCTAAAGTGCCACTAAATATAGAAGAATTTTTGACTAGTGTGGTCATATGGGTTGATTCCATATAAACATCCCTAGACTTCCTATGATGATGACCTCGACGAAAGATTCTTGAAACATGAGCATTAGAGGAACTCAGAGTGACTCTTGAAAGATGAGAATGGTATAAGAACAAGTTCAAGAATACAATTGATAATTACGAGAAGTGAGAAAACTTAAATAGAAGAAAATATGTTTTGGACTTTTTATAAATTCTCTAATTTTTCAATGAATAAAAAATATTAGTCTTAAATTTCTATGAGAGTATGCATACTATAATCAAGAAAAATTTTTGAAATTTTTTGGGGATGATTCTACAATTTTTGGAACTTCTAGGGTGATGTTTCTATAATTTTTTTGAATCTGCTGGGATGTTTTTACAATTCTAGAGCTTCTTGATAGTATTTCTGCAATTTGCTAAAATGTATGGGGGAGATTCTATAATTTTTTTGGACCTTTTGAAGATGTTTCTGTAATTTTGAACTTTTTGGGATATTTTTGTAATTCTTCTAGGGTGTTTTTTTGTTAAACACAATAGGTAGCGATGAAATTCATCCTGAGTTAATGATGAACAGTGCGTACGAACAACGCGTGAATAGTGTCGATGAATAGTAATTTTTTTTTTTCCTTCTGAAACTAATCAGAATTGGGCTCTGATATCAAATTGATGTAGNTGAGTTAATGATGAACAGTGCGTACGAACAACGCGTGAATAGTGTCGATGAATAGTAATTTTTTTTTTCCTTCTGAAACTAATCAGAATTGGGCTCTGATATCAAATTGATGTAGATTGTATTAACTCTGATACCAAATTGATGTAGATTATATTAAGAAAAAATTAGGGATGAGAAGGGAAGAAGAAAGAGATGAGAAAAGAAGAAGGGAATGAGAATAGAGAGAATTTTAGGAAGAAACAATATCAAAATTCAATTTGGTATCAGAGCCCAATTCTGATTAGTCTCAACAAATATGTATCCCCTATATATATAAGGAGTTCACAAATTTTATATATATAAGGAGATCACAAACCCTAAAATAAATATAACTAAATCCTTAAAAGTTAAAAAAAATTATTTAAACAATAAATATTAGAAGTATCTAAATAACTATCATAACTAATCTATAATATCTATCCAATTCCTATACGATCCCATCACTAACATACCGGTCTGACCAACTTCGGGGTTGGTTGGTTGGTCAAGTAGCCTCAGCCCAAAAGGAGGCATTTTATTACCAACTCCCAAACCAAGAAAAGCCGGTCTTAGGGGTGTGTGTCTATCCTTCAAATGTGACCTAGATACGACTCCCTGTGAAGTCTTCTGATTGTTGAAGTCATCCTTCACTTTGGCTTGGTTTGACCTCGATGTTGATGTCGGGAAGCTCCAAGTCTGAGGTTTGTACCAATAGCTCCTCTATATTATGTATGTGTCACAAACCATCCTAGAGCTATTATACAAGTCATGAAATTGTCTTCCACTCCAAACCAATACAATACAATACAATCCTCACTACATTCGATCACTCAATTTAAAATATATAATAAGTACATTGAGAGACCTACTCTACTACATAGACACCACTGTCACTACATTTGGATTTGCGAAATTTTATTTGAAGTTATATTATTCAGATCAGACGAGATGTTTAATTGGGGGATCGGATATCTAAAAATTGAATGAACCTCCGGGAGCTTGTATGAGAGTTGGTTTGACTGCCCTAAATATGGCGTAATATTTTTGAGATGTTAATGAACAAGATGTACTTCTATTTATCGACAATATCTTCCATTTCGTCCAATCAGGATCCAAAGTATCTGCCTTATTGGGTAGAATGCCTTCCACGGTGGGTTATCAACCCAGCCTTAGTACCGATATGGGCACTTTACAAGAAAGAATCATTTCTACAAAAAGCTAGTTTATATCTGGCCTTTGTACCAGTAGTGGAGTGGCTTGCTACTTTCAATTTGAAAGGGAAGATTAAGCAATGCCAAAGGAGAAGAAGTTGTCCTTGTTTTATGGTAACTCACCAATGCATAGATAGAAAAAAAGGGAGCAAGGAAAGAAGAACGACCCTTCAACTTTGGCCAGTTTGACTAGGTAACATAATGGAAATGTATCAGACTGCAAATGCTGGGATGGTTAGCATCACAGAAGTTGAAACAATCAAATGGCTTACTCTTAGGGGCCTTTTTCCATAAGGGATTAGAAACATGGCCTTTCTTTATCTTAACCATGCATCATTTTTAGTCACCAACAAGGTCTCATGGAACCCCTTATGCTGATGATTCTAAACACGAAATGATTAGATGAAGTTCTTTGTATATCTTATTTACAATGGGTAAAGATGCCCATATATTATTTGCCTAGAACCAAACTGGTAACTCCCATGGATTTTCGAATTTGAGTTTTTTTCTCATTAGTTATTGACCACTTACAAGCAGCTAATGCCTACTGAGAGTACTTAGTAAGAGATATGCATAGCGTGGGAGTGAGAAAGGCAGGGGGCAAGGGGGTAGGGGGTGCACAATATTGGCAATTTGATATTGCATACATGAATGAGTGATTGCCATCAATTAATTTCGATGAATACCATTGACCTAAAGTATGTAATAGTAATTCAATAGGTTACAGTTATAGATGTTGTTTTATGGTCTTGTTTTCTCCTTTTGTCATCTGCCTTTATCATTGTATTGGGGTTTCAACCCTAGCTCTATATTGCAATTATTTGGAAACTTTGGGATCGCTTTTGTCACTGACAATGTGCCTCTTAGCAATAAAGGGACAGTAATTTGTGACATCTAGATGGTAAGTTGAGCAAACAAAGGAAGTATTATGCTCTCTTATCAATTTGAGAGTGCCTCTTCAGAAAAGAAAGAAAAAGAGGAAAGAGAAGCAAGCATTAGCAAAAAAGTTGTTTAAACAAATGATGCGACAATGAGGTTGAGTACTACATCGTTTCTCAGTTCTATTTTTCCAAGGATGCATTCCCATGTAAAATCACTCTTTAACACCAGGGAATCAAATAGTTTGTAAGGATGGGATTCATAACCGGTAAATATCTAGGGTATTGGCATTGATTGATACGACCATATTCCATACCCAACGTATTTGATGCATGTGTAGCAGAAAAAGATTCTAGTGTGAGAAAAAATATAACTTGACCAGTAGTGATTGTTTGTCCATTGAACATTTAAACAAGAAATCAAATGATTAGGTACAAATTGTGGTATTTTAGAGGCATCGATGGGATTATCTGCAGTCAATAAAAAAGAATACGATTACCCATAGACCCCTTGCACTGTCTATATTTCTTCTGATAAAATGGGTCGAAACTCGTACTAATCCTAAATAGTATAGTTTCAACCCTCTTGTACTTATTACATCAATTAGGGATCACCTTACTTCTTATAAGGAGGTTGTCTAATGATTGATGTCGGACATTAAGTTGACATACAGGTGAAGGCATTATCATAACTTAATTGCACTTAAAGAAAAATAAATTATTTTTAAATCTATTTATGAATAATTCAAAGTACATGTATGAAACAACGTTTCAATGTCTAGCAAGGGAATAATATTATGCATGTCATCTTCACATAGACATAAAACACATTTATTGGCTCTAGGAAAATGATTATGATGCTAGCATCAAATTCAAAACTGGGACAAGATTTGAGTAATCTGGTAACATTTAGTTTAGCAATAATGGATGACTACAGAAAGTAAGTGGAGGTCTGCACCAATCTTCTTTGTCCAGAGGTCTCCAATTGCACATATAGAAGGATGCTTAGTTACTGATTATGAACATGGTAGAATAAAAAACAGTGGTATTTAGATTACTAGAAATAGTTGTTCAAATTCATGTGCCATATGTGTTAGTTTGTGCTTTTACAATTGTGGCATATGCAAGTATACTTGATTTTCCTCTCAGGATTACATTTCCACAAGGTTGGAACAAGAAGCCTAGAAACTCAATTAATGTTAAGAGTGATATTATTAATATTAAGTTGGGTTTTACAGGAAGACTGACCATTCTTAATAGTTATGAGACAAAATGTTAATATTGCATGATATATTCAATATATCAGGTATCTCAAGGACAAATTCAATCGGCAAAGTTTCTGACTGTGGTTCCAGTGTTACTGACAATTTTCAAAACTCAGAAGAGGCAATTCGTAAAGGAGAATATGCTGTCATCAGAAGCTTGATTCGGGTTTTAGAGGTACCACCAAAGTAGCTCGTTAAATCTTTAATTTCTGAGTTCCACAAGTAGAATATTCTTGAATTTTATATTGATCAGCTATATAATTCTAGGGTGGTGTTGAAGGAAAAAGACAAGTGGATAAAGTGATTGACAAGTGTGCCTCCATGCAGGTATATCTCTCTTTTAATCTATCCACTCGAGCTTTTAAGACATTGTTCTGGTTTTCCAAAAAGTTTGTCTGCTATAAAGCTATCTGGCTCAATTTGTTGCATTGCCATTGTTTGCTTTTCTCATCAAAGTTCTGTTACAAAGATTCTTTTACTCAATTTATTGCCTTGAGCACTTCCCTTGAGATAGATTTCATTGCATTGTGGTCTTCTCTTTACATTTTCATCTTAATGGCTTTACACCAGTTTAATGTATTTTGTTGTGAATTGAGCTGTAGAACTTACGTGAAGCTATCGCCACTTATCGCAATAGTATTTTGCGTCAACCAGATGAGATGAAGAGGGAGGCATCACTCTCATTTTTTGTGGAGTACTTGGAAAGATATTACTACCTTATATGCTTTGCTGTATATCTTCATAATGAGAGAGCAGCACTGCATCCTGGATCCCTTGGTCAATGCAGCTTTAATGATTGGATGAAAGCAAGGCCAGAACTGTATAGCATAATTCGCAGGTACAATTTTTTATTGAATTAATTTATTAGGTGAAAGTGAGATGACTCTTCTAAGCTTGGATAGTGGTGCTACTAGCATCATTGATTTATGTATGCATTTTAGTGACTCACTTACTGGTTGTGGACTCGTTAAACATGCACTAGTAGAGATATAGGTTAGGATATAGTATCATGCATGGGGTGTATTTGTGGAGTTACTCAATTAATCCAAGTCCCTACGAGTTTTTCTCTATAGGNATTAAACATGCACTAGTAGAGATATAGGTTAGGATATAGTATCATGCATGAGGTGTATTTGTGGAGTTACTCAATTAATCCAAGTCCCTACGAGTTTTTCTCTATAGGAAACTGCTGAGTGAATTATTGCCTTGAGAATGACTTTATACCACCATAAGAATCTCCTTTTTTTTAGCTGCATTGTCAGAGACTTTTTTCTCAATAGAAACTTTATAAGACCCTGTCAATCATGTCCTTTGATACCTATCTTGATGTCTGCACTCATATTGTTGATCCTTTCCTTGGACACACTTGCGTCTCTTTTTCGATAGTGCTTATGATTTTCTGATGTTGACATCTAGGATTTGCCTATGCAATTTTCCGTTGTTCTTTGAAATGATAGTTTTACTGTCAATGGGGTTTCCTTCTATCAACTCCTGGAATAAAACTTTTAATTCCCTCTCATAATTTCCTAATGAAATGGGAATTATGTGTAGTTATGATTTCAGTTATGAGTGTAGGGTACCACTGGATTGTATAACTAATTCCATCTAACTGAGTGGTCCCAGCCACCCCTTCCTCCTCTATCAAAACCCTCCAAAGACCCCTGGTTGAAGTAAAAGTTTCAATTCTATCCAAGTTTGATAGCAATTCAGCGATCCAATGCTGACATTTGAACTCATAATTACCCAAAGGAGTGGATTTTCCAATTATCATAATTACCACTGCCCCAAATAATATATTGACAGCACCGAGTATAGAGTCTATAGAGTATAAACTATGTAAAAATCTAATTTTTAGATCCTGATTTGATATTCTCTTGGATCTTATTTATATATCATCTGTTTCACATATAAGGCATTGTTATATACTAGCCAGCATTGTGGTTCAATTCTTATAATGTAATTGTACCTCTATGCAGATTGCTAAGGAGAAACCCAATGGGAGCACTTGGTTTTGCAAGTTTGAAACCATCTCTGACGAAAATGGCAGAATCTGCTGGTAGTCGCCCTTGTGAGATGGGGCAAGTTGCTGCCTCCAGGAATGGAGAGGTACTTGGAAGTCAAACTATTCTTAAAAGTGACCACTGTCCTGGTTGTCAACACCCTTGTTTACCAGAAAGAGTGGAGGGTGCCCCTAATTTTCGAGAAATTCCTGGGTTTCCAGTTTATGGTGTTGCAAATCCAACTATTGATGGAATACGATCGGTCATTCGGAGGGTTGGAAGCTATAAAGGTGGCCGGCCTGTTTTTTGGCACAATATGAGAGAAGAACCTGTTATCTACATCAATGGAAAACCATTTGTGCTTCGTGAGGTTGAAAGACCCTACAAAAACATGCTGGAGTACACGGTATATATCTGTTATGTGATGTCTTGGCAAATCTGGTGTGTGGACAAATGTACCTGGATCAGAACTTGTTATTAAACAACTAACAGGTCATGCATACGTGTGTGTGCTGTCATGACTGTGTGATTACATAGTTATCAGTTTTATTAGTTAATTTGTACATTAAAAAAAACTTACATAGAGAACTTGCTTGGTGGGGCCGCAGGACCAATGCTGGTATGCTTTTTACTTTTAAGAAATAGAATAACCAGTTTCTTTGTAGAAATTGAAACGATGGATGAAAAATTTCCGTGAAATTTTGTTCATTTAGTTGATATTAAAGTTAAACTTTGCGTTTTGTCGTCATTTATCAAGTTAATGTGTGAATAAGATGCGATGTGATGCTTTGATAAAATTCAACTCCACAGATTTTTCATGGATAAATGGGAAAATGCCATGATATGTTGATCGATATATGACAGTAGGATAGATCATATAGGTTTGCATAGAAATTCCTTTATATCAATGGTTTCATGATATAGGATTGATAAATAACTCTGTAGATGATTTGATATTGTATCATACTTAAGTAGCAATTATTCAATTCTTGGGATTTCGTTATGTTTTTCCTGAGGCAGCAAGGATCAATAAATTCTTAACTCATATTTTTTATGTATTATATAGCAAGTAATCTAGCACACACATAACTTGTATGTGATGTCCTAAGTGATATAACAAATTTGAGAAATTCTTGGTGTTAGATGTGTTTTTATTTTTTCCTTCATTCTCTCTCTCTTTTTTGATAGGAGAAGCTTATCTGATGTTAACTTATAGAAATGTAACAAACATGCATGGACATAATTCTTCTAAGATGAATGAAGCCAGAGCTATCTAGCTAGCATTAAAACAGTATTAAATCTCTTGTGAACATGAATTGGAAGTATTAGCAGATATAGTAGACATTTCTTTAAATCAGGCATTACAGCATCCATGTGGTTACAGTAATAGACAAGAGGCACAACAGTGGCACCCAGATGCGGCAAAAACTGGCAAGGAATCTGACACTGTTTGGGTGATTGATTGTAAGGAGGCTATAGAAGGATATTTGGCTTAGATAAGCAACTTTCATTGGAACCTAGACATGTAAAGGGATGAATGTGATCGATAGTAACATTAGAATTTAGAAGGGAAATTATCATGGCATGTTTACTGGAAACTTAAGTCAGTAGGAGGCAATCTAATTGAAGTAAGAAATCTTATATGAACTCCGTTACACTAAAAAAGGTGAAAACAGGGATAGGGTCAGGATAGTGTAGATAAGAACAGTTAGAAAGGAGGTAGGATAACTATTAACAAAAAAGAAGTATGTGATTCAAAATTTGAGCATGCAATCATGCAGTTTAGATAGTAACGAAAGTCTGTAAGTTTAAAGCTTGTGAATAAGTCTAGGATTAAGTATATATGCAAATTTTCTAAAAGAATAAGGATCTTAGATTGTTAATCAAAGGATGAAATAAAAGAAAAGTGAAGGTTACTTTAAAAACTTGTTCATTGGGTTCACGTATGTATGGCAACTGTGGGAAGATTGTGAAGACAAGGGTGTGTGAGAAATAGAAAAAAAATACTTTATAGAAAATGAGAAGTGGAGGAATTTGAGGACCAGTTTCTATCGATGCTTGAAGTCTTCAGGGATAAAGGTCTGTCATATAACAAACTAATTTTTCTAGTTTATTGCAGCGAAAAAATTGCTTGATAAGTGGCGAACGATATATGAAAATAAAGGCATATATGGAGTTACATAAATTATTGTGGTATTTAAGCACTCACTGAGAATACTAACAGAAACATGTGGATTGCAGAAAACAGGTTTGCACCGAGGTTCAGCTTTGATGCCTTATATTGAGCTATAGATAAAGATGAATCGACTAGACACATCCAAATTCTCTTACTTGATGATATTTTTGAATTGATGGAAGTAAAGCAGGGATTATTTCCGAATCAGAAAGTTTGAAATGAAGAGTATTTGATAGAAGTGGGGATGAAATTGGGTATATGTATTTTTGATAAATGTACATAAGATCAAAGATGCAAATGAAGCAGCGCATGAGCTTGCAAGATGGGGACTAATCCTCAAGCACATAGGCGATCTCCCTGATCACAAGCTTCCATACTTAGTAAGTGAAGCAGTGATCACGGAGGTACCAAAGTTGTCTTAGAAATTAGCATATGTTTATTTACTCTTCTTTACTCTGTGCTCAACTTTTTCCCAGCAGAACAAAAAAATAAATTTGATAAATGTAGAAGTACAAATGAGAGGTAGGGAAGATTGAAGGCTAATTGATATAAAAGATTTAACAATTTTAATTTTAAAACGCTAACAAGGAAGACAAATACTAATTGGGGTCGAGATGGTGATGAAAATTATGATAGCTTATTGTGTAACGAAGGACCTTGACCAGTGATAGAGTGTTGTAGTATTTAGATTGATATAGCTGACCACAATTAGTTGGATCAAGGTTTTGTTGAGTTACGTGATTTTCAACTTTATAGTAACTTCATGTTATAATGACACAGGTTTGATTTTTTCTTTTTGTTGCAGTTGATGTTCTGTCGTTGAATTTTATGGTATTGTAATAATTGATTTTCTGTCTTTGCTGATGGTTTTGTTTAGTAATCCAGCAATATGCCTTTCTTAAACCGCATACCTGCTAAATATGCATAGTCCGTAGTCTAACTCTGAATCATTTATTTAATAGCTGCGTTAACAAACTAACAAATTTTATTCTAAATATCAAGAAATGATATTAATAAGCAGCACTTTTTTTTAGAAAAAAAAGCACAAAGCATACTTGTTTGTGATATATCTATCAATATATCCGTCATACCATAATGCAATATGTATCCTTTAATTGGTGTTTTATTTCTTAGTTAAGACTTTGAGGCAACTTTTAACTTAATATGCATTACCAATAAAAAAACTTCCACATGTTGTCACTTGTCACCATACTGTAAAAATCCTGTCTTGAAAATAAGCAATATGATTGTCAACTGGACTAGCAGTTGCCAATGTGTCTCCGGTCAAAACCAGAGCATTGTGCATCCAGTTGCTAATGTCTTTATCTAACTTCTTTTAGAGTGGTGGTTGGGGGTGGGGTCTTATTTTGTTTACATGGATTGCACTTGGTGAAGCTAATACATTTGGATGTCTGCATTTAGGGAATTGATCGGGAAAGAGTAGAAAGAATGGAAGCTCGATTGAAAGAAGATATTCTGCGAGAAGCTGAGCGCTATGAAGGTGCTATAATGGTTATTCACGAGACTAAGAATGGGCAAATGTCTGATGCTTGGGAGCACGTGAGCTCTGTTGTAGTTCAGACCCCACTGGAAGTTTTTAGAAGCTTTGAGGCTGATCGTTTTCCCATCAAGTATGCTCGCGTTCCTATCACTGACGGTAAAGCTCCCAAAAGTTCTGACTTGGACACATTGGCGATGAATATTGCCTCAGCTTCCAAGGACACGGCTTTTGTTTTTAACTGCCAGGTTAAATTTTTATTTAGCAGTGAGCTGTATTGCATGAATATGTTCGTGAATTTTTCAGAATCCATAAAACGACTCTATGCTTTATTTTCACATGTAATGCTAGATTACTTTTTACAGATGGGTATAGGTAGGACAACCACTGGTACTGTAATTGCTTGCCTTCTGAAACTTCGGATTGACTATGGGAGACCTATTAGGGTACTATGGGAAGATACGTCAAATGAAGACGTACATGACGGTACATCAAGTGGTGAAGAAACCGTAGGTCATGATCCTGTATCATCATCAAGTATAGCAAGCAGACCTCGAAAAGATTCAAGCCGGGCATTTGGTATTAACGACATCTTATTGTTGTGGAAGATAACACAATTTTTTGATAATGGGGTGCAATGCCGGGAGGCCTTAGATGCTATTATTGATAGATGTTCAGCTCTGCAGAATATACGCCAAGCTGTCTTGCTTTACAGAAAGTTATTCAATAAGCAACATGTTGAGCCAAGGGAAAGGAGAGTGGCATTAAACCGCGGAGCCGAGTACTTGGAGCGTTATTTTCGTTTAATTGCTTTTGCAGCATATCTTGGAAGTGAAGCATTTGATGGGTTTTGTGGACAAGGAGAATTGAGGATAACATTTAAGAGTTGGTTGCAGCAGAGATCGGAGGTGCAAGCCATGAAATGGTCCATCCGATTAAGGCCTGGGCGATTCTTCACAGTCCCTGTAAATCTTTTTCCTATCAAATGGCTTTCTCAATGTTACAGGTTTTCTTTTCTCTTTAATTTGATGATATGTATGGTTGTGTATAATATTTCAGGAGGAGTTGAGAGCGCCACATGAGTCTCAACATGGGGATGCGGTAATGGAGGCCATTGTAAAGAATCGGAGTGGTTCTGTTCTGGGGAAAGGGTCTATTCTTAAGATGTACTTCTTTCCTGGTCAAATAACTTCCAGCCACATACAAATTCATGGAGCACCACATGTCTACAAGGTACATTGAGATGTGTACAAATCATATGAAAAACAGGAGAACCCCACAAGTTTTCATACCATTATAGGCTTATCCAATGGGCCTACCAGGCCAGCTAACACACTTATTTTAGCATTTTCATTTTCTTCTCAAAGTGCAATTTCTTTTGGTAATTTATGCTGTTTGTGAGGCCGTCATTGTATATATTTATTTTCCCTATGACTGAGCTGAAGGTATGGGTTTATATTCTCCCTTTTTTAGTACACAAATCTGAGGTGAAAAGTTATGTGGCATTCTAAATTTAGCTAGGGTATGGGGTTTACCAATGCCAATATTGAAGTGAAGGTATGATGTAACTTTTTTTTATCCGTAGGTGTAATGTAACTTGGGAGAAAAAATGGAAACTAAATCTTGACATTATATAGTACACTAAGTGTGGCTTCCAGTTCATGCATTCAATTATTTTCTCAAACTTGACTGTTTTGTTTAGCTAATATAGATTGTTATACCTCAAATCTCTCTTTGGTATTGTCACTCACAGGAATACAGTTAAATGGTTATTCCTGAGTCCATATTGAACGCTAATAAAAATGATAAAGGGATAAACCTGATAAATTTATCATAATCTATCTTTACTATTTTTATTATTTATTGTTGATTATTATATTATTTAGACATATAGTATGTATCAAATTAGGATTGTTTGGATAGGTTTGATTATGAATAATTTTATTTTGGTAGGAATTTTGTTCATAAATAATTGTGTGATCCCTATTATTTTGATTTGAGTACGAATTTAAGTTGATTGTTCTCTTTGGAGAATTATGTGTTTCTTGACCTATTCATGGCCATCCTCCTTATTGACCGAAGTCAAGTTCCTTTTAGTAGTAGGGAATTGTTGGAATAGCCATTGTATGGTTGCACCAATATGATTGACTATGGAAGCTAAGGCTGAAGACTTGGAAATTTTGGTCCAAAGGGAATTTATTTATTTGCTTAGGATTTATCAAATTAAGATTAGTTTTGGTTGAGATTTAGCGGTAGAGTAGTTTTTATCTTGATAGGAGACTTGGTTTATCAATAGTTGGGTAATCCCTTTTATTTTGACCAGATTGCATTTGAGTTTATTCTCTTAGGAGAATTGTGTTTTTAACCATTTTTCTGAAGAGTTCCGAAGACCAGACCCCTGGTCTTCATAATGTCATTCTATAGAATTCAAAACTGGAGGTGGTCAAGGAGATGATGCAGTTGTATATCATCTGGTCTTTTCTTATATTTTCTTGTCTTTGAGACTTGCTATGTTGATCAGTTGATTTAGAGGCAGCAACTATGCATAATTGACCATTTGCAACCAAAGTGTTCCTGATTCCATCACATTTCTTTCTATCAAGTATAACATGCATCATGTCCACGTACTCATCCGTGGTATCGGTGGTTGTCCTTTGTAACTGAGGGAACCACTTCATCTGAAATTAATCTGCATGTCCTTATTGCATGCATCCATTTTCGTGTTTGCAGAGTGAACAACATCTTATGCAATGGTAGACAGGCACAGTGGTGCTGTAGTATCAATCTACTGTTGTAGAAAGGTTACATGATGAAGAAGAAAAAGATTCTGCGTATAAGGTTAGAATCAATGAATGAGTTTCTTCAACAATCAATGAGTGATGTCTTCAAGTCTCATTTGGTTCCCAATCAACAAAATGTTGTTAACTACAAAAACACTTGGTGCAAAGTTTATTATCTTATCCTCCATTGTTGCCACCTAAGGCTTCTCAAGATGGGGTGGGTCCTTTCTTAGGAGTATCTTTTCCTATTAGTGAAAGAGCAAAAACTGGTGTTTGAATCGAAAACCAATGAGTTGCTTATCCGAAAAAGTGTCACTAAACTCAACAAAGTCATGTCCCATCTATTTGGGGTCGGCTACTTGAATCTTGATTCATGCTTGCTATTTAGTTGAGGTTGACCTAAATTAACGTTGTTGCTTGTGGTTTCATCACTGAAGCAATTATGGATCTTGTATTTACATCTCTAAATTATCTTAGTCGATACTTATACCATTTCACCAACATATTCATTCCTACTTCTACTATTTCATGTTTTACCACACATTTATCTTAACATTCACATGTCAACCATAGTTTTTGTGCGTGTTCTTCTCTAGCCTACTTGACATTTTGTACCTTTTTAGCTTAATAGGCGTCGATTGTATGATATACCAAATGTGTTCCTCCACTTAATCCATCCTACTTTACTTATATGAAAAATGTCATCCCCAATCTTGATGCACTGTTCCTAAAGAAGCACATTTGCTTTGAAGAGTCTTGTACGTCAGTGCATTAGAAGTGGTGAGTTGGTGGCTCAGTCCAGTTGGTACAAAAACATGGTAAGCAAAAATTTGATGGCTGATGAAGGTGGCATGAGCATTGCATTTAATGCTTTGCAAGAAAGGAATATTGTGAGGGCTTAATCTAATTGGTCAAACAACCTTTAGGGTGGCAATTTTTTGCACGACACAAAGACATGATTTGAAATTGATACTAAATTTGCGGATTATAGTTGACCATTTTTCGACACGAACCCGTTGTTAACATTGATCAAAGGCAATAAAAGAAGAGAAGAACAAGAGAAAGAAGTAAAAGATATTATGAAGACTAATCCAATCTGTAATGCAACATTAACCTAGAATACACAATGTAGGCTCTTATATACTAGGACAACAAAATAATCTAAAATGCCTAAACTATCCATAATATAAATACTCTAACATCCCCCTCAAATTCATGATGTGGTAGCATCAAACATCAAGAGTTTCCTAAGAAAGAAACAGATGTGCGCGATAGTGTGGGATTTCGTAAAGAAATCTGTCAACTGCATAGCAGAAGAAAGAAAGGGGAGAGATATCGTGCCTAGCTGAAGATGGTAGTACACAAAGTGACAATCAATCTCAGTATGTTTTGTGCGCTCATGAAACACCAAGTTGTGGACAAGCTAAATGACACTGGTGTTATCACAATACATAGGAGTAGAAGTAGACAAGAAAATGCCAAGATCAACAAGTAGCCAACACAATCAAACTATCTCTGCTGTTGTGGAGGCCATAGCACGATATTGAGCTTCAGCAAAAGATCAAGCTAGAACAATTTGTTTCTTACTTTTCCACGAAATAAGAAAATTACCAAGAAAGAGATAGAAACTAATAATGGACTTGGGATCTATAGAGTCACTAGCCCAGTCCGCATTAGAGTAAGCACGGAGTTCTAGAGACGATGAAGAAGAAAATAATAAACTCTAATGCAACGTACCCTACAGATATTGAAAAATCCGAAGGACGGCGGACCAGTGAAGTATGGTGTAGAAGTAACAACTAACTAACTACGTGAACTGTATAAGCAATATCTAGACAACTAATAGTAAGATATACCAAATTTCTAATAATAGTATGATATAAGGTAGGATCAGGCAAGAGAGAACCATTAGAGGAAGTATAACGAACGTCGAGCCCTAAAGGTGTGTTGACCGTTCAAGTATCCGATAAGCAAGCTCGCTGAATAACATCTGAGACATATTTTAATTGAGAAAGAAGATAACCTTTGGGAGAAGAAGTAACCTTAATCTCTAAGAAACATCGAAGTTGGTCTAAATTTTTCATCTTAAAATAATCTTGTAACTGAGTTTTTAATAGTCGAATTCCAGCATTGTTATCACATGTAATAATCATGCTATCTACATAAAGTAATAGAAAAATGAAACCAAAAGAAGTGGATCAAAGGAAGAGAGCAGAATCATGATCACTAGCACAAAAGCCTAAGTCATATATGACTGAAAATTTTTTTGTAAATTATGTCCTTAGGGCCTGTGTAAGGTCATATAAAGCTTTTGTGAAGTTTGCACACATGACCAGGACTATGAGGCAATCCAAGAAGAGGAGTCATATAGACCTCTTTAGATAAATCACCATGAAAAAAAATGTTTTTCACATCCATTTGAAAAAAGCTCCACTGATGAACAACTGCCACAGCAATTACTGTGCGAATTGTGGTCATCTTAGCAACTGGAGCAAAGGTCTCATTGTAGTCAAGCCATACTCTTGAGCAAATCCCTTAGCTACTAATCTAGCCTTGTACCTTTCCATAGAACCATCAGATTGGTTTTGATTTTGTAACTCACTTACAACCAATTGTGCGTTTTTCAGGAGGTAAAGGCACCAACTTCCAAGCTCGAGTCTTATGTAAAATAGAAAGCTCATCATCCATAGCCTATTGCCAAAGAGGATCAAGTATAACTTCTTTATAGGAGGTTGGTTTAGACAAAGTGTATAAAAGTCAGGAAAAAACAAAAATCAGAAGAGTAACAAGGGTTGGACCAACCAAACCGGTCAAAACACTTTCGAGTGCGTTGAGGGTAACGGGGAGTGTGATCCACGATGTTAGAATTTGATTGGGAGATAGTAAATTTGGATGAAGGCATAACATTTGTGGAGGAGACAGTAGGAGTCGTGCGAATATAAGTATGCACAATTGGGGGGCGAGTAACAAACAAATCAGATTTATGCAGAGACGAAGAACCAGATGAAATAGAGAAAAAGGGAATATACACCATAAAAACATGGCGAAAAACGTAGAGTTTTTGTGTACTAGGATCATAACAATGACATCTTTTTTGTCCCTCACTGTATCCAAGGAAAATATATAAGGCTAAGCAAGAAGAGAGTTTGGTACGATTAGCACTAGGTAACAAAATAAAACATGTACAGCCAAACACACAGAAAGAGAAATAATCAGGTGTCTTACTGTATAATTTTTCAAATGGTTGTATACCAATATTGAGGATTGTAAGAATGCAATTAATCAGATGAATTGTTGTAAGGATCTCTTCACCCCAATAAGATCTAGGAACACTGGCTGACAATAAAAGAGAACAAGCTATCTTAATAATGTGACGATGTTTTCGCTTGGCTACTCCATTCTACTCAGGGATGTCAGTACAAGAGGACTGATAAATAGTACCATCAGATTTTAACAAATCACGAAAAGAACTAAAGGAATTCTCTTCACCTTGATCACATCGGAAGTATTTGATGATAGAAGAATATTGGGTATGCACCATAGCACGAAAAGTAATGAAGACAAAAGAATTTAGACCTACGTTTCATCAGATAGACCCAACAATATCTATTATTTTTTTTTTTTGGTCAAACAGTATCTAGTATGATCATTAATAAAAGAGACATAATATCTAGACTCCCCTTTAGTAGCAATAGGAGCTGGTCTTCAAATATCAAAATGCAATAAATCAAAAGGTGCAAAAGAACTAGAAGTACTTTTATTGAAAGGTGATGCAGTAAACTTAGTCAATTTGCATCTACTACAATCGGCAATATCATGACACTCTAAATTATTCAAACTATCAGTAAAAGCTAAAAATTTTAAACGGGAATGAGAAACATGAATTAAACGAGAATTCTATAAATAAAAACTAGACGATTGTAGATTTAATTGAAAAGAAGATAAATCAATAGTAGATGTAGCAACTTCGAGAACATGAAGTTCGTCCAACACATACAATCCTCCATTTCTATGGCCTGTCTTAATCAGTTTCTTGGACTGTGAATTTTGCACAATACAACCAGTAGAAAAAAAGAGAACTAAAAATTCTGAATCAAACAACTAACTAATTGAGATTAAATTTAAAGTTAGTTGAGGAATATAATCGACATCAGAAACTGTAAGCTTAGAGGACACAATTGTTCCACCACTAGCCAAAGACATTTGGGTGTCATTGACTGCAAGAACAGATATAGAGGAATGGAAAACATTAAAAACAAATAAGAATTATTAGTCATGTGATGGTTGGCTCCTGAGTCAAAGATCCAGGCAATTTGAGATATAACTAAAGGACCTGAAGTGAATGATCCTGATGAGGGAGACATTGATAGGGCACCTGGTTGATGAAGAGATTGAACTTTTAACAATTGATCAACTATGATAGTCATGCTGCAAGCTGATGGGAATGACTCATCCACCGGTGATGCAGCTGTTTCTGTATGATGGTCTTTAGACTTAAATGGTTGATTTAATACCCCTTTAGCATTCTTGTTCATCAATTTGGGACATTAGGTCTTCTAGTGGCCCTTCTCACGACAAAAATTACACTCATCGGAAGCAACTCGACCTCGATATTGAGTGGTACAACCAATACTATCTGATTAGGCAATGGAAGAAAACCCTTCACCGAGAAAGTCTTAAAACGGACTTCTTCATGCAGGAGCTCATTCACTACTGCATCAGCTGTGGGAAGTGGGAGACGATGGAGAATAGAACCACGAAGCCCTTCGAAGTCATCTCTAAGGGCCATAAAAAACTACACCAATCGCTGCTCCTCCCTAAAGGTGCGATGTACCATATGAGTACTCAGTAGAACTCCTATATGGTCTTATCACCTTGGCATACAACTCGAATTTCATGCTTAAGCTGATATCTTTTTGTAAAATTGGATTGAACAAACAATGTAACTAAATAATTCCAAATCTCTTTGACTGTGTTAAACTTAGTCAAATGAACACCAATGGTCTGATCAACTGAATTGTTAATCCAAGTGATGATTTTGACATTGTTGATTTCTCAAGTGTTCTTTAAGTCATCATATTTCTCTACCTTCAGATCTATTGAAGCTTGCACATCACCACTAGCATAACACCACATCTCCTTACCAACAAAAAATTCTTCATAACATAAGCCCAATAAGAATAATTTACACCATTTAATCTTACACTAATAGCATGAAGAGAATCAGAATTTTCACTTATCATAATGTTAAACAAAAGGTCAATGCTCATAACAAAATAATACCCAAATCAAGTCAAAATAGAGGAAGTCCAACAGCCAAACAAGACAACAAGCTACCCAACAAATTGTAATACCCAATCCAGGTCAGAATAGAGGGAGTCCAACAACCAAACAAGAAAGCAAACTGTCCAAACCAAATTCTGAACAAACGTGATAGACCACCTGCAAAGCCAGTCTGCGAAGCCAAAGAGAAGCTTGTGAAAGCCAAGAGAAGCCACAACTTGCGAAGCCAAGAACAGAAACCAGGAGCCCAGAACAGAAATTTCGGCTATTGTTCTTATTGTGAACAGTAGGCCGACATTCCCATGGAGCCAAAATCCTTCAAATCTCATAACCAGCCAGCCAGCCTACACTCTTAATCGCACATTTTAGACTCAATTGGAAGCAAAAAATTCAAAAAAAGCAACTCCAAATCACAGATCAGAAAATAGAGCCGAAATTTTTGAAAAACATTCAAAAATTGAAAAATCCTATCTGATGGCCTCAAAATCAAAAATAAAACATACAATTGGAAGGCCCATGAAGAATCTAGTAAGGTAGTGCTCTCCTCGACTCCAGACTGATGACATCAGTCTTAATTTGATGATCCTTTAGACTCATTTTTTTGTTTAGAAGATTTTTTTTTTCTGCTGTGTTCTTTGATTTTTTTTTAAGTGTGCTAGAATCGAACAAAACTTTGATACCATGTTAACATTGATCAAAGGCAAGAAAAGAAAGGGAGAAAAAGAGAAAGAAGTAAAAGATATTATTAAGACTAATCCAATCCGTAATGCAACATTAATCTAGAATACACAATGTAGGCCTTTATATATTAAGGCAACAAAATAATGTAAAATGCTTAAACTTTCCATAATATAAATACTCTAACACGCATGACCTGCTAACACGAATAATAAATGGGTTAGATTAGTGTCAAATACGAATAAAACAAAATTGACACGTTTAACTAGTATTATCAGAATATAATGCCAATTTTTTGTTATTTTTTATCAAGTATTAACATAGTTCTTGTGCAAAAAAGATGTTTTTATTATTATGTTTATCGAGTTAATTTTTAATTTATTAAAAAATAATGAGGATGGGTTCGACGATTAAGTGATAATGGAATCTCACACTTCAATTTTAGTGTAAAATTTTTTATTTACGGTTTATATAGGCCAATACAAGCACGATACGAAAATAAACAGGTCGGGTTGACACAACACAATTAGTTAAATGGGTTGGATTAGGATTGATTAGTACTCGACACGAACCTGCAAATGCCAAGCAGCTGCATGTTTGAGGGGAGATGTTGTAATTCGTCACCTTATTTAATAACTTGAAACTTCTCAATTCTTTCTTCTAGCTATAGATGGCAGCAACTTGTGGAAGCATTTAATGCTGTCCAAATTTCTTTAATGTGAAGGAATCACTTAATGCCGAAGAAGGAAAACTGTCTCTCCACGTCACCTACAAATAGGCATCACCCAATCAATTGTAGGGCAAGTCATGAGGATATCTAAGTATTGTGAGGTATCTGGGAAATCCTGAATTCTGGTTTAGGTTTTGGGGGAATCCAAATTTATGTGAGGATTATGGTTAAATGTGAGGGTTTTTCTTTACTGGAGTTTGAGAGTGATAAGATTGAGGGGTATACAAGGGTGTAAGGGCTAGGTTTTGGGATTTAAACTTGGGGAAGCTTGTACTGCTATTCTGGATTTCTCTAGGAGATCAGACCATGCCCTATGGACATAGGCAACGTTTTTGCTGAACCACATAAATTTTGTTGTTGTGTGTTGTATTTTGATTTATTTTCTTGCCATTCTATTTACCAAATCTCTGCGAGTTTTTCTCAACAAGTGGTATCAAAGCTAACAAATAGCTGTGCGAAACCCACAAGTGGTATCAAAGGTCATCGGTCGTTGCGCGGAATCTCAACACCAATGATTGAAGGCCTTTTTTTTGGCATCCAATCGCCCCAAAGTTGGATTAAAAACTGCTTTTATCGTCATTGTCTAATGAACAGATAAACATGTATATTAAAGACATTTTCTCTGAAATTCCTAATCTTTTCAGGTGGAGGGATATCCTGTATATAGCATGGCAACTCCAACAATTGCTGGTGCCAAGGAGATGTTAGCCTATTTAGATGCCAAGGCTAGCGGGGAAAGAAGTGCTGCTCAGAAAGTAGTTTTGACTGACCTTAGAGAAGAAGCTGTTGTTTACATTAATGGCACACCATTCGTCCTTAGGGAACTAAATAAACCAGTTGATACACTCAAACATGTGGGAATCACTGGTCCAGTGGTATGTCATAATTCCAGCATACCATAATTACAAAGAACATGTCATCTGCTGAATTCATTTCCAAATATCCTTTATTCTGACCATTGTGCAGGTAGAACACATGGAGGCACGGCTAAAAGAAGATATAATATGTGAGATTAGACAATCTGGTGGTCGAATGCTTTTACACCGTGAAGAATTTAGCCCGGCACTAAATCAGGCCAGTGTCTTAGGATATTGGGAGAACATCTTTGTAGATGACGTGAAGACACCTGCTGAGGTATACACATCTCTGATTGCTGATGGATACAATATAGCATATAGGAGGATACCATTAACTAGAGAGAGAGAAGCCTTAGCGTCTGATATTGATGCAATCCAGTATTGTACGGATGGGTAAGTATCTACACAACTTAGATATACAGTAGCTTTTAAGTTATCCGTTTAACATTTTAAATTGGACAAAATATGTGTTATAGCTACCTGCATTGTAGTCTATAGAAAGCATTGCCCCACCTGGGTAGATGCACCAGCCAACTCATGGCTGTCTAATCTGTCTGCGCACCACCTTTGGGACATTCAGCTGAAAATTACATCATCCAAAAAATGTAATAGCCAAATATTTGAACTTTGGCTGCAACTGATGTGGTATTTCAGTTCGTCTCCTTTTTTTTATGATTACACACAAGGGGATACATGCATATTTTGAACATACTTTACCAACATTATACTGCAGTTGCAAGAGTAAGTTCTTATTCATTCCTCCAAAGTTTAGGCCTTTTTGGAGGTGATGCTTGGACAAAGGTTAGGTCTTTTTGGAGGTGGTGCTTGGACTTGGGCTTATTGGTCTTCTTGGACTCTTACGACTGAAGTATAATGTTGGTAAAGTATGTTCAAAATATGCATGTATCCCCTTGTGTGTGTTCACAAAAAAAAATATATATGAACTTTGGCCTTTGAATGTTAAGGCTTTTTATAGTTGTGAGTCTTTTCACCATGGCTGATTAAAAGACTGACTGAGCACCTCAAGGACCAGATCATTAATTTGATAGACTAGGAATTTAGGAGGTGGCATTTATGTGAGACGGCTACCTGTATAGAAATCATGAGAGAACAACAATGTAAAGTGAAAGAAAATCCATCTGCACAAGACTTTTCTATCGAAAATACTTGTGAAGCTTATGATATTTCTTTACCCAAAAAACATTATGAATAATTCAGGTATCAAATTTGACACAAATAGTAACCGTGGGAATCCAAAATATAATTTCACTCATAAATTTTTCCCGCTATGATGGCACTAAGTCCCCACTTAAGTGGTTTTCTCTCACAATTTATCAAACACAACACAACACAGGCAACACACAGATTACAGGGCCATGTCCTAACCTTTACTTCTCAAAAAGTATAAGCAGTTCAGCTAAGGGTTTGCTTACAAAAATGGGTGCAATCTGCAAACCATGGCATTCTATTTATAGCCTCCAATGGCAGTTACAACCCAACTGTAACTGCCTAATCAATGCTGGCACTAACCAACCTGGGCCAACAAGGCCAATGCAGTTGGCATCCCCAGCTCCTAAGAAATGTTGTCACAATCTGGAGCATGCCACACATTTCGGATGGTTACCCATACCCAACAAACCACCAGCCTTGTTGTTCAATCAGATGCAATCCAAAATCGCCACCAACTGCTTATCTAGTCAAACCAGTGCCTTCCTTGTGTGCCCAACATGCTGCCTTTATTTGTGCCAACATGCTAAGTCATGCCCAACTCATGGCATGGTCTTCAAAGCATGCAAGACACCTTGCTTAACCCATTATGTCATCTCTTGCTTTGCTTCAATGCGTCCAATCGTGCCCACGATGTATTGTCTCCCTTCCTTACAAATTGCCTCGTCGACATGTACTGCCAGTACCTGGACTTCCAATCATCGACCAAAGTGTCTCAAACCACTTGAACACCAATACCAACACGCATCCAAGCATCTTAGTTGCCGTCGTGAACATTTGGGGTTTCCTAGCCAAGCACACCCCTACCTTGGCCTTGGCGTGGAGCGCCATTGGGCAAGTCACCCGCACAATTTAAGGGATAAAAGCTACATTCTAGAACTATTCTAGCTATATTGGACATATCGTTCTTTTTTTACTTCAATATGAAAAGTTTCACAACGCTAAAATCCTATTTAACCTTGAGAAGATCGAGAAATTCACACTTGCGGCATCAAGGGTATGTTGAATTTTTTGATAGACTATAGTATTTGACATTGGAAGTTGTACGTTTAGAGAAAGAGAGAGGAAAAGAAAAAGGGAGGGACAAGCATGAAAATAGGCTAAAAGTTAATCTACATCCCTCACAAATTTACATATATAATTCCGAGGTATACATCATGATTACCTTCTACTATTATTGCTAACTAATGCTCTATTGATATCAAATTTTTCCCTTTTGAAACAAATAGTTTACTAATTTTTCATTCCATTAGTTGATCTCTAGACCATAAGAAATACATAGTAATCTCCATTCTCCTGTACTAGAGCTTTTTACCAACAAAGTGACAATCAACCTCAATATGTTTTATCTCNTATGATATTTCTTTACCCAAAAAACATTATGAATAATTCAGGTATCAAATTTGACACAAATAGTAACCGTGGGAATCCAAAATATAATTTCACTCATAAATTTTTCCCGCTATGATGGCACTAAGTCCCCACTTAAGTGGTTTTCTCACACAATTTATCAAACACAACACAACACAGGCAACACACAGATTACAGGGCCATGTCCTAACCTTTACTTCTCAAAAAGTATAAGCAGTTCAGCTAAGGGTTTGCTTACAAAAATGGGTGCAATCTGCAAACCATGGCATTCTATTTATAGCCTCCAATGGCAGTTACAACCCAACTGTAACTGCCTAATCAATGCTGGCACTAACCAACCTGGGCCAACAAGGCCAATGCAGTTGGCATCCCCAGCTCCTAAGAAATGTTGTCACAATCTGGAGCATGCCACACATTTCGGATGGTTACCCATACCCAACAAACCACCAGCCTTGTTGTTCAATCAGATGCAATCCAAAATCGCCACCAACTGCTTATCTAGTCAAACCAGTGCCTTCCTTGTGTGCCCAACATGCTGCCTTTATTTGTGCCAACATGCTAAGTCATGCCCAACTCATGGCATGGTCTTCAAAGCATGCAAGACACCTTGCTTAACCCATTATGTCATCTCTTGCTTTGCTTCAATGCGTCCAATCGTGCCCACGATGTATTGTCTCCCTTCCTTACAAATTGCCTCGTCGACATGTACTGCCAGTACCTGGACTTCCAATCATCGACCAAAGTGTCTCAAACCACTTGAACACCAATACCAACACGCATCCAAGCATCTTAGTTGCCGTCGTGAACATTTGGGGTTTCCTAGCCAAGCACACCCCTACCTTGGCCTTGGCGTGGAGCGCCATTGGGCAAGTCACCCGCACAATTTAAGGGATAAAAGCTACATTCTAGAACTATTCTAGCTATATTGGACATATCGTTCTTTTTTTACTTCAATATGAAAAGTTTCACAACGCTAAAATCCTATTTAACCTTGAGAAGATCGAGAAATTCACACTTGCGGCATCAAGGGTATGTTGAATTTTTTGATAGACTATAGTATTTGACATTGGAAGTTGTACGTTTAGAGAAAGAGAGAGGAAAAGAAAAAGGGAGGGACAAGCATGAAAATAGGCTAAAAGTTAATCTACATCCCTCACAAATTTACATATATAATTCCGAGGTATACATCATGATTACCTTCTACTATTATTGCTAACTAATGCTCTATTGATATCAAATTTTTCCCTTTTGAAACAAATAGTTTACTAATTTTTCATTCCATTAGTTGATCTCTAGACCATAAGAAATACATAGTAATCTCCATTCTCCTGTACTAGAGCTTTTTACCAACAAAGTGACAATCAACCTCAATATGTTTTATCTCCTCGTGAAAAAATAGATTCAAAGCAATAAGAAATGCAACCTGAATATCACAACACAACTGCATAGGGAAGGTTTCTGTTAATTCAATCTCATGTAATAACTTCATCAACGAAGTAATTTTACCCCTAGTCATAGTCGTAGTTGTAGTTTGAGCCAGAACTCCATATTCAGTTTCAACCATAGTCGTAGTCAAGCAACTATACTTTGTTTCTTCACTAGAGGAAACAGACTTGAGTTGTGCCAAAGTGAGGCTGAATTGGGCTAAACACTATTTTGGTTGACCCTGAGGGGTTGATCTGTACTTGGATTTAGACTTAACCAGATTGGATTTGTGCTGCGATGTTGGAATTAGGCTAAACTGGACTTGTCCTTTGAATTTGATCTGGGCTTGTATTAATAACCCACCATCAAAAGTGGAGCCTTTCTTCACCTTCAATTGTGATTCTCGATATAGAACTATTACATTACTAAGATGCAGGTGGATTTATTTCAACACCAATTGATTCAACCCTGGACTGAAACTTCATGCAACGATGACAAAGATGACGATAATGAGGAGGACTTTGTCTATGGCACCAATGATGACCACAACAATGATCTCGGACAAGCATTCGGAAACCATTCAAACATCCGGTTGTAGAACAAATAACTGTAGAGCATGCCAATAATTGTTCGCCAAAGATCATAAGAAATTCAAGATTTTTTTAAAATATTTTTGTGGCTCTGATATCATGTAAGTGTAGAGAAAGGGAGATATTAAATTAGGTAAAGTTAACCCTACGCCCCTCACAAAACTAATCACACACGCACACATTAGAAAAAGCTAAATCTTAAAGACCCAATAATCCTCTGGTATTATTAACTAACTAACATAAGTTGGCTAAGGCTTGATATTAGCCTCTTAGCTCGTTGGCTATGACGGGCCCCATGCTTTAGCCAAGGTGGGGGCGTGCTTGTCTAAGCACTCCCTTTGTGCAAGATGCCCTAAGGACTTGGTTGCATGCTTGACTTGGTAGCAAAATGTGGGAATTGCTAGCTGTTGTGTGCGGCAGTATAATGGGGCATTATGACTCCTCAAATAGCTGAATGTTCGTTGATGTCACTTTGGTTTTACTCTGTAATGCTATTTTTTTTTTTTTTTTGGTGGGGGGGGGGGGGGGTCCTCCGCGAAG